AAACGCCCCCCCCCCCCAAAAAAAAAAAAAAAAAATTATTTTTACTATTAAAATAGTTAAAAAGGTTTTGAGGAGGTGTAGTTCAATTGGTGACGATAGATCCTCAATTGTTTTTTTCTTTTTCTTTTTTTGAAGGGTTAAAAAAGTTCAATAAGCAGGTGTATTCACACCTGGTCCAATAGTACTGGGAGTCTATTCGCTAGTAATAGAACTACAAACGGACTGTTTGCAATTGGGTGATACTATAGGGGGTTTATTCGCAATTAACCCTATAGCAAATTAATATGCATGTTGTTAAAGACAGTGTGATTATATTCATTGATACAGGTTTCTAATAGGTAGTACAAGAGTTTTGTCACTTATTTCATTTTTAACTAACATATAACAGAACAATCTTTATACATTAGAATTAAGCAACTATTCATGTTTTTCATCATTTTCCTCTTTATAACGTGACTTTGTAACTTTAGTATAGTTTGTTGATGATTTTACTGAAGTTTATTTCATCCTATATGAAGCATCAAACAAAATGTTCTGACAGGAGTGTTTCTAAAATGGGTCATACAAAAGCTAGCTGAGTAGTTTGACATTTATCAAGCATAGGTCAATAGATGTTGAACTGGGTGTCTATGGCAAAGAACCTGCCTTCCCAAATAGAGGACAACGTCTTAGGTGAAGCCAATGGACAGATTTGAGTTGGAAGACACCAATGTAATCTTGATACTTATTGGAAGCACCAGAATATGTCTTGTATACAAGGCAAAAAGGTTGAAGATCTGAAGTCATATAATGTATAATTCATCATCTTGATCAACAGCTAAGATGATAGTAGAAAGCAGTGCTATATTTCATTCAAATTTTCACACAGGAGCCTAGGATATTTCACTCTAGTTTCAGACTGCATTCAGATTCCAGGGTGTGTGGATGGAGATAATAAAGTTAAAAAACATTTTGGAGGCTTCGTGCTCAGATTATGAGTGGTAAACAAGTTTTTATTCTCAGCACAAAAATGACAACCTGCATAATTTTCAAGCACTTGTGCCATGTTCAGGAATAACTAGAAACTCTTCACCAAATATCTACTTTATAAGGTGGTTAATGATGGTGATGAAGTCACAAAATTTTGTTCAATTTAGAGATCATACTTGTCTTGCTCAAAAAGATAGCCATAGATCTGAGCCTTCTTGGATGCCGTTTCAGGGATTTTCTTGTTCACATGTTTCATGACACCCCAAGCAGGAGGAACCCTGAGAAGAAAAAGGAATCAAAAAGATTTGGATCCCTAAAGAACTAAAAACATAAAGACAGATAGAACATTATAGCAATCTGTTGATAGAAGTGGTCACCTGGTGACCGGTGCTGCCAAGCAGAAGCTTAAGCAGGCTTTTTTCCCATCCCTGAGAAGTTCTTCAGCAGCAAAAAGACAGCACACTGCACTCACATGATCACTTGGAGCACTTCCCTTGTCAAGGACTAGACCATGATAGTAATATGCTGCTGCCTGATGATTTATTTGAAGAGTGAGAATTCAAATAGGCAAGTTTTCCTAATAACAGACTTCACAGTACTCTGATCTAGACAAAGGAATAGCACCTTAGCCTCAAGATACTTCCATTGGATGAACAAGAGTAGTTTCTTTCCATAGCCATCATTGGTATAGCATCCTGTCAAGCAGGAGTGAGCCTGATTAACAGAAGGAACTCAAATTAGCAAGGTGAGCATACAAGATATTGTTTAATTCTAATTTGTGAGTACTTTGTAGAGCTTATATAGCTGATACATGCAGAAGGTCTTTCTCGCTTAACATCCCGGAAGAGGGATAGTTGGCTTCTTTATGAAAGGTGATTAAGGATAACCAAACTCTTTTCATTCACATGTACCCTTTTACGTTTCAAGCTTGTTCAGAGTAGGCCTCCAATTTCGATGCCTGATTAACCCTCAATAGCCCTGAGACACTTCTGTATAGCGCAACCTGGAACTATCAGACTAAACCAAAATTGGGACTAATTGTTTCCTAAAGGAAGTAATTTTAATGTTTGGAGTTTTTAGGTTTTAGGATTTTGGGTTTATGCTTTTCATCAAATATAATCTAGGACTAAATTCTTGACTCTATGAAATTCAAATATAGTGTATAACACCTAGCTTTGAATTTTCTAGTAGCTAATATATCTTTCATCAACAACCGATAGAAATAGGGGAGGTTTTCCATCATGTTTGTAGACACCACAACGGTATGTGACTTAAAGTATTGTTGTATTCTCTCTATAGGCTAATATTTGTTGCAATTTACAATGCTAATAGAAGCTATGCTTGCTACATAATGGCTAGTAGCATATAGGTACACAATAATTTCATCTCTTGTAATGCCTACTTATATTAATAAAAAATACATAAGATGCACGTGGATCCTTAGTATATGAACAAAGTCATTAGTGACAATTTGCAAAGAGAACCAACAATCAAGCAAAATTTTCTAAAAATATTTAATAAGAAAGATAATTTTACGCAATTGAAGCCCTAAGAAAATATGCATTGCTAACATGATGTGTAGTGTAGAGGCAATTCTTTTTTTTTTTAATTCCCACAGTAGTATATAAGCAAGTTGAGCAGCATATTTCTATATCCGGGGAGCGAAATTCAAGTTTCCTAAGTATATACAAGATTCGTTGAGAAAGAATTCTGAAAGAGAGCTCAAAGCATACTGACTTGAGCAAAGTAGCTGACTGCCTCACACGCCAACCTCCTTTTCACGGACAAAGTAGCCTTTTCACATTCCAGAGCCAATCCTAGTTGCATTTCTACTCCCTGGAATTGCAACATAAAAGAATACTAGTCAATTAGTGATTCCGTAATGCTAAAGGAGACGGTAGTTATCTTCAAAGCGTAGAAGTTTACAGAGTGGACCAATAATCTTGGCTTCATCTCAACTTTCATATGGCATAATTAACTCAAGCTACATTAACAGGTAGAAGAGAACCGATTTAATGGAGCTTCATACTGTTTAATCCTAAATAGGTTCATGTTACCGTGTCAACAGCTTGTTTTGCTGGGTCTTTGGCTTTCCTCTTCCACTATACTGACATTCTTCAGTTTTATACTGTTACAGCATGGATTCTTAATAGCATATACATTTGCGCCCTATATTCCAAAGGAAAGATAAAGACAGAGCTATACTTTCAGTAACCATGCAGCTAAATGTTGTAGAAGATTGGCCAATCTTTAAGCTTTCTCAACTTCTGCATCCTGCCCACAACCACCCCCAATTTCAACGGTCATACAAGTTTAGATAACAATTAAAATTGATTGCTTTTAGTGTACAAGTGTCAAAACTTCTCCTGCAATCCTACAAATAGGAGCTAGAACTATATCTTGTTCAATAGTTACAAATGAATAAGGTTAATCATTTCCTTTAAAACTGTATAATAAGCAAAGTAATCATTTTTACCAAATTCTATAAATTGCAGTCACCAATGATGTTAAGACTCAGATACATACCTGTGCCAGTGCTTGAGTTGACATGGCCTCCAACATGCCCTCTTGCATGCCATGTGGCAAATTCTTCCTAGAATTGTTTATAGAATAATTCAGATCAAAGTTCACACCCAGTTACATGTATCATAAAGGAACTGGAATGAAAAAGAAAAAGATAACCAACAAAATATTCCATAAAGTTACTAACAAGACAGAAGTAGTTTCTTAAGGCATTGAATATCACCTGAGGTGCAGGGGCAAATTGACCATAACACCACGAAGACAATAATCAAGGCATCCTGATGCCTTTAGCAACAAATCAACAGCGAACTTCTTTGAATCTAATAAAATATGCAATTTTTATCAGCTATAAATTTCATAACATAGCAATAGGTGCATAGAGCAATAAGGAGGCTCCAAGTTTATTTTATCGTTTCCGCATGTTTTTATTTTTACCAAAACAAACTAACCTTCAGATACCACCCTTTCACACTCATCAGAAGATTTGTTAGGTAACAGCATAAGGTTTGCTTGCAACATTGACAATGTGGCCATCAAGTGAACCACAGATAGCACTTCATACCAAGCACTATCTATGCAAGTTTCCTACACATTATTTATTGTAAATTTTCTGCCACACATGAACAAATAAAAACTAGAATTATAAGTCACATTCTTACTTCTTCATCTTCACAGAGAACCCTCCACTTGAACTCCACCAAAGATTCAAGATTGTGCTCTACGAAATACAAACTTATATAGATTACCAGAACTTACTAAATTGCTAACAAAAACCCCGAGTGCAAAGACAATACCTTTTACTGTCAAACCAAGAAGAATGGGCAAGTACTCTTCAAGAGCTTGCTGGAGTGCAGCAACATCATTTACATCTGCCAGATCTAACAGGGTTTCAGCTTGAAACATAAAAAGTAATGCTTAATGTCTAACAACTATATACCATTTTCTTCTGACAATGATACAATCCGATATCGGAGTGAAGATAGTTTATCAATGAGCTCTCGAGATAGTAATCCCCTTAGAGGATGAAGGAAATCAACAGGCATTGGAACTTGAAGCATTGGGACAAAAACCACAACCTCATCAACGCTACTTCTGTTCTTTCTCTTTTTTCTACCTCCAGAAGGGAGTGTCTTCGGGATGGAGGAAGCACAACCCATCGTTTGGATTGAAACAATTCTATCACTCGAGCATCCTACAACAAAAATAGGTCAAAAAATCAGCTAAAAAAAGATGACCGTGAAACGAGGCGTAAACAAGATCGATTTCAGCCAAGGTTCTGATTGTTTTTCAACAAAATTACTCCTTTTCCCCTCAGCTTCTCCTTTTCCTTCTCCAATTTCTCTCCTTAACTTAAATAACTACAGAAGTCACACAGATTTCAACAGAAATCGAGATCAAGAAATGAGGCATAAACTCGAACAAAATTCCTCCTTTTCCCCTCAATTTCTCCTCTTCCTCCTCCAATTTCTCAATTTAACCTAAATAATAATAAAAAAAGATGCACAAACTTCACACGAACCAAAGGCAAGCCCCAGATCAATAGAAGCTGAGTTCTGAGGCGAAATTCACAAATTGGAAACACCACAATTGACCGATCAGAGGATGAGCGATCATCATAGAGCAGTAAAAACTCGATTTTGACCCCGAAAGCAGTAAAATTGAGTTAGAGATTGCTTACGAGTGGGAAAGACGAATCTCTCTCGGGCGCAAACCATGGTGATCTGCTCACTGCTGACTGAGATCGCTTCGCTGTTCTCGAGGAGGAGCTCACATGGCGATGGCGGAGGATCAGCGGCCATTGGTGAGTAATTCGTACGACTTTCGCTCCTCAGTTTTCATACCGAGGCTATTTGCAAAGTAGTCCGTCGCAATCTTGGAAATTATATTCTCGCGCCTGTTATTTGCAAGGGTTTAATTTTAAAACCCTCAGCCTTAAAATTCTGAGAAAAAAGAACTCCCATCATCAACTATGAGTGTCACATACGATAAAACTACTTGACTTTTACGCTTAGAAAACCCACCATGATTTACTTTGATTTGTGAAATAATCTAAATATCCCCCGCCCGTGAAAAGTGATTATGAGCCATTTATGATGCTATTCCACCCCCTGCTCTATTCTCTCATCTTGCGAGAATCTAGCCTAATTTTTTTTTAATGATTGAAGAGCATCTTTAGTCGTTTTTAGTCATGTACGTGTCATGTGTGACATTCAAATTATCGGTGTTAGTTGGAGGGTTAAGTGAAAAAGAAATTCAAGGAGATTTCGTTGAGGGGGTTATCTACAATGTTATGGTGTTCCTATTCGCCCGAGTGCAACTCGGTGCCGAGCAACGGACAAGTGTACTTCTGCACGATATGTCCCAATCCACTTGGCAGCCAGAGACTAGTAGGGACGACAACTTAGCCGACTTGTCAAGTCGACACCCCCTCATGTCAACTCGAAAGGCAGTACTTGTTGTCCCCTTTCGTCGAAGACGACTCACCACGAGTCCGCTCAACCACTTGCCATACGGCTTGTGAAACCAACTCGAAAGGCGTTACTTCTCGACGAAGCTAAAGGACAACTTCTGCCTCGAGCCTATTCTCACTAGCAACGTGTTAATGTCGCATTTAATGCATATCAGACGCATCATGCCTAGGGGTGCATTCGGTTCGGATACGGTTCGGATATGACCCTTACCATAACCATAACCACTTTCTGAAAACGGATACGGATACGGTTCGGATATTCCTCGGTAAGAAAAAAGTATTACCGTATCCGCATTAAACGGAAACGGATACGGTTCGGATATTAGAGGTTCGGATACGGTTCGGATACGGATACTAATCGGTACCAGTCCTTAGTCTAACCAAAGCTTATTCCTACTACAAAAAGGACTAGCAGTAGGCATAAACAAGTTCGGACGGAGGCAACTAAAAACAATAGAGTAATTGTTAATGTAACTAAGTTGATGGTCTCCATGCAACAAAGGATCCATATTTTTGTTTTCTCTCAGCTAACTAACAATATTCGCACATCCTGAATGAACTCTAAATAGAAGCAAAACTTTCAGGTACTCATTTCTAGAGACTAGCCTGATAATAGTCAAAATAAAACCATGAATCAACTAAATGACAAGTAGAAGAAGATTTCTATCACTTAACCCCTTAAATACTTAAGTTTTTCTTCGCCGTTGATGCTCAATCTACAAACAAGCCAGCCCTAAAATAGAAACTAAAGTTAGAAGAATGGCTTGATAATAGTCAAAACACCAGCTTTTTCATCATCTTACAAACCCTAAGCGCCAACAACCACAATCCAACCTACCAATCAACAAATTAGACCCAAAATAACAAACCCCGCCCCCCAAAACCAGGAAACCCCCAAAAAACCCTAACCCTAAAAAGTTTCCAATTTCGGCAACAAACCAACAAAAGCAGCAGCGAACAAGATGAAAACAACAACAAACTGCTGCAGCGAGAGAGCTAAACTAGAGAAATTAGAGAGAGAAAAACTCACAGAGATCGTTGGCGAGGACTAGATTGGGAAGCAGAGGCGAGATTGAGAGAGGCGACAGCATCGGAGATGGAGACGGTTCAAAAGAGATGTTCGACGTCGTCCGTCGTCGTCGCGAAGAGGCGGAGCTCGGAGGCAGGGTAGGAGGCAGAGCTTAGGGGCGGGAGGCGGAGGTGCTCGGGAGGCGGAGCATGGGAGGCGGAGCTTGGGGACAGAAGAGCTCCGGAGGCGGAGGTCGGGAGCTCGGGAGGCGGAGGTCGGGAGGTCGGGAGGTGGAGGCGGCGCGGGAGGCGTACGCACAGGTTCAGTTTGGAGTCGGCTTGGAGGTGGAGGCGGGTGGGAAACAAGGAATTGGAGAAGATTAGGGTTTCTGAGAATTGAAGAGTTTTTTTGAGTTAGAATTTGGGTCGGGTTGCGGAGATATGTTATAAACCCGACCCAATAGAACTATTATACCTAGCTCATTTCAAATATCCGGATATCCGGACCGTATCCGCAATTTCGACCCGATAACCGTATCCAAAACCGTATCCGGATAAAAAATCAAAATTGTAACCGTATCCGAAACCATATCCGACCGGTTTCAATTTTTCCCTACCATATCCGCTTTCTAAACGGATACGGTTGCGGTCGGTCCGGATAAATCCGGACCACTTTGCACCCCTAATCATGCCCCTAGCCCTGATAGCCATCATGACTCATCGGACCACGTGAGCACTGTCATGCCGCCCATCACTTCTCGTGTAATGCTGAAGTGATTCATCCCCCACTGGCCAGCCGAAACCAGTGAAGCAGGTGCTGACGCAACCGCCAACCCATACTTTACCACCGCCTCTCAATGCTCGCCCAAAGTGAATGATCTACCCTTATACCCTAGGTATAAATACATGTATTATTCTTCCTTGACGGGAGGACTTCTTCTTCTGACTTTTTCACAAATCTGATCCCTAAGCAAACATACTACACACACAGAAGAACGCACACAGTTCTTATTCTACCACACTCAAGTTCATCATCTAACTTGATCGTCGAAGATACAATGGGGGAACCAAACTTCATCCTCTTACGAACTTCTACTTGTGCAGATCTTTCAGATTCCCTGCTCAAAGAACCAGACATAAAGTTGGTGAAGAAAGCGATCCCTTATCAATCCCCAACAGACTCATCCAAGTACTGATACATATTGACTGTGTGATTACTAGTACATCAACATACAATGTCCTCAAACTTGATAGGATTTACTTTCCTTAAAATAATTGAGGGGTTTCATATAAAAAAAAGTTGAGGGGTTTTTTAAAGACGCGCCCTGAGGAGGGTTCTAAAAAAATAAGCCCTATTTGCAGTATAGTATCTACATTTAAGGTTTTAACATAAATATTTAGCATTCTCATCCTTTTATATTTACTCGGTTTTTAGGTCTCCTTCGAGTTAATTTGAGGAAAATTTTGATTGTTTCTACCTTTATAAATAAGACTCGCGTATCGATAATAAGCTAATTTTATTATTCCTTTATACAAACCAAAACAAAAATATAAAATAAGCTAATTTGCTCTTCCATTTGGATGTCAATAAGTAAACTATTCTCTTTTTCTCTATTTTTGCCCCCCTTAGAAGCGAGTCGAATAGAAGTTTTGTTTTGTTTTCTTTTTCCCTGGTACAGTAAACATAACAACTTAAACCTCTAGACATTTAGAACAAATTAACATTAGGCCTTAATTTGCAGTTAACACCCATATCATGGGAAGATTCTTTTCTATTGATGCTGCATACAAGAACTGATGTGCAATTAGTTGTCGCATTGTACGATCGCACTAAACAAATACCGAACTGCTAAAAATATTTGGAAGGAGGAGGAGTCACATGAAGAACAAATGGCAGACATCTTTCTTGTACTACGTGTTTCCCTCGGGTTGAGAACAGCGTCCAAGTTGTGCATGTATCAAATTATTGTTAGTCCAAACTAAACTAGAAACTCGAGAATAATCAGATTAGGTTGTAGGCGTCAAAAAATGCTGAAAGATATCCAAATACAGTTCAAGAGGAAATCATCCAAAAAGGCAGAAGAACACAAGTCTTGAATGTCTTGCCATGCGAGACAGACTTGACTGTCTCGCCATGCGAGACAGACTTGACTGTCTCGCCGCGCGAGACAGTCTTTACTGTCTCGCAGGCGAGACAGACTTTTACTGTCTCGCCCGTGCGAGACAGTCTTTACTGTCTCGCCGTGCGAGACAGAATTTACTGTCTCGCACGTGAGACAGCTTTCAGATGGTCAAAACTACCTTTGTAACTGCCCTACACGTGGCCACTAACTGTTCAAGAACGTGGAAAACGTCGTGGGCGAAAATCACGTGGATAACTGCCAAAATAACGGAGTTTGAAACGTGGGAAAGCAGTTACATCGAAAACTGCCAGAAATGTAGACAGTATTTTACTGTCTCGCTGGGCGAGACAGCAAATTTACTGTCTCGCTGGGCGAGACAGCAAACACTGTCTCGGCCGCCGAGACAGCAAATGCTGTCTCGCGAGCACTGTTCATCCAGAGGGTTATAAATACCCCCCGAAGGCCATTTTCACAGGGGCTTCCAGCAGAGATCAAAAGTTGAGCACTTGAGAGCAATCCAGAGCAGAGAGAGAGCAGAGGTGCTGATCTTACGGCCAATCCTTGATAATCAGGCTTTGACTTGATTTCAAGAAGAACGACTATCTTACATCGATAAGATATCGTTTCAATTTCTCACTTCGATAAACGAAGTCAGAATCATAAACCCCTCACGGTTCAATCAGAATCTGTGATTTGGTGGTCCACGAGTCAAAGCACTCCCGGCACAGGCAAAGATCCCACGAAAGCAGTGATCCAAACAACGATCCTGCGTTTATTTTCTCAAGAGTTGTAATTTTCTTTTTGTTGTGTAAAAGAGTCTTATAAAAAGGCTGTTTTCTTTGAATTTATTGTAATCGACCGAAGATATAATGAATTCGACAACAAATTCGACTTTTGGCGAAAACAAACTGGCGACCACAGTGGGAGCCAACGGTCTCGCTGCCGAGACCGTCGTGTCGCAGCCGATCAAGATTCCAGTTGAATCCATGGTCGAATACGAATTCGACCAAACCAAGTTTGAGGAATATTTCTCATCATCCTCTTCAAGATCTTCAGTATCTCGCAAGTACAAGAGG